TTTTATACAGCTATTTTAATTATCAGTCAAAAACAATCACTTATTTCAGTGATTTCTATATTTTTGTGATATGAATTAAGATACTTAAAAAGTAGGGGCACCTCAGTGGCTCAGTTGGCTAAGTGTCTGCCTTTGTCTCAGGTCAGGGTCCCTGCTCAGCTGGGAGTCTCCCTCTCCCTCTGCCCCTCCCTACCTCTCGTGTGCTCTCTCTCAAATAAATAAATAAAATCTTAAAAAAAAAAAAAGTAAAAGAGTCATTTTCATTCACCTTGTCAAGCTAAGAAAGAAAAAAATAATTAAAACAGTTACTCTGAATAATTTGAGAAAACATACAGTTCCAAGAGCAGTATTCATTCATTCATTCATTCACCTGTTTATTTTCTACTTTGTTATATTAAAACTTCAAGGCAGCTTGAAAGCATATATAAAATATAAGAAAACATAAGTTAATAAAAACATGAGTAGGCAGGAGGGCACTTGATGTAAGGAGCACTGGGTGTTACATGCAACTGATGAATCACTAAATTCTACCCCTGAAATTGATAATACACTATATGTTAACTAACTTGAATTTAAATAAAATCTAAAAAAAAATCCAAAACCATGAGTAGGAGTACAGAGAAATAAAAATGCCTGCCATTCGAAGGTACATACTTGCTCAGGCAGGCCACAAATTTGGCTCTACATTTTCAAAGTGAAAATGGAAATCTTGTTATTGTCACAATTTGTAAAACCTCATGAGATAAAATGCACATCAATTATTTAAGATAAATGGAATATATTAATATCATATATCAATTTTTCTAGGGCATTTCATTTAAAAAGACCGTGTTATTTAATACAAATTTTGTCACCCACCAAATTATTAATCATGGGACTTTTTCTTATAATGACCTTTACCTAATGCCATTGGTATGATACCCAGAATTTTCTTGAATCACAAGGATTACAAAATCATTCTGAGTCAGGACTTGAAGTTATTTTTATCCAGAATTTGCTGGTAGGTGTATTTCCAAGGTAGAAGGTGGTAGTAGACCGTAGTTATAGCAGTGGGTCTCAATTTTGGTGTCACCTTAAAAATACTTATTAAAACACATTTCTCAGCCCCACTCCCAGAGCTCCTAATGTAATGGGTTTGGGGTGGGGTACAAGAATTTGCATTTCTAACAAGTTCTTACTCATGTGGATGCTGCTGGTCTGGGAACCAGTTTGAGAACTTACTGAGTTACACGGTAGTATTGAACAGCTTATACCTGACACTCATCTGCAGTACTATCAACTCTGATGTCCTTGCAGGCTAAAGAGAACCATACATAAAGGTGGGAGATCTTGTACATGAGAAGCTCAGTCCTTCCATGTAAGGCTGTATGGGAAAGCCCTTACTAATTCCTAACAAAAGCTTGTAGAATCTCAGTCTCTCTTTTGCATATGCACCAGGCCCCAATAATTAGGAACTCAAAGTAAGTGCTTGACATATATTGGAAAAGTAGTCAGCCTGAGAAACTTTCCTTTCTCAGGAAAGACGAATGTTAGGTAACGGAAGGAGACATGGAGCTGCCAGTAACATTTTGGCAATGTGTCATACGAATAGTATTAGCTTCATTAAAGAGATAAACTGAGCCCTGGTAGAAGTGGGGAAGATGACGGCAGAGTAGGAAGAACCTAGGTTCACCTGTCCCATGAATATAACTAGATGATAACTATCAAAGCATCCTAAATACACCAGAAATCTACCTGAAGACTGTAGAACAAACTCCACAACTAAATGTAGAGAAGAGGCCACAATGAAGAAGGTAGGAAGTGCAGGACACAGTTTAGAGGAGAAATGGATCCTGGTTGCTGCAGAAGAGAGGGGAGCCACAGAGAAGGGCAAGAGAAGAGCACTCAGGGGAATGCACAATGAGAATGCTTCCCCATCCATTGGCTTGGAAAGCAAGAGGGGTTAAATTTCGTGGGTTCTTGCAGCCAGAGGGGCTTCAAGCCTGAAGTTGTGTCAGTGGACTGGACTCCGAGAGAATCCAGAGGCATCAGGGAATCTAGAGGCATCGGGGCTGCTCTTGGCGAAGCAGGCACACAACCCCAGGGACACACACTGTGGAAACAGCGATCTGAGAGTGCCTGGAGCACACAGTGAGGGGATTATTGGCTCTTCTCAGAGCCTGCCCCTGAGAAGCAGCATTTATGAGAGACCTCTCTGGGAACATGGGAGCTGGCTGGCGCCATTTCTCTCCCCTGCCAATCAATGGTGATAGATCAGTGGAACAGAATAGAAAATGCTGAAATGAACCCACAACTCTATGGTCAGTTAATCTTCAACAATACAGGAAAGAATATCCAATGGGAAAAAGACAGTCTCTTTAACAAATGGTGTTGGAAAATTGGACCATTCTCTTTCACCATATACAAAAATAAACTCAAAATGGATTAAAGACCTAAATGTGAGACCTGAAACCATAAAAATCCTTGAAGAAAGCACAGGCAGTAATGTCTCTGACATCAGCCATAGGAGCTTTTTTTTAGATGTGTCTCCTGAGGCAAAGGAAACAAAAGCAAAAATAAACTATAGGATTATACCAAAATAAAAAGCTCTGCACAGCAAAGAAAACAATAAAACTAAAAATCAGCAACCTGTGGAATGGGAGAAGATATTTACAAATGACATATCCCATAAGGGGTTAGTACCCAAAGTATATAAAGAATTTATACAGTTCAACACCTCAAAAATGAATAATCCAACTAAAAATGGGCAGAAGACATGAATAGACATTTCTCCAAAGAAGACATACAGATGGCTAACAGACACATGAGAAGATGCTCAACGTCACTTATCAGAGACACGTAAATCAAAAGAGATACCACCTCACACCTGTCAGAATAGCTAAAATCAACAACACAAGAAACAAAAGGTATTGAGAATGTAGTGAAAGGGGAACCCTCTTGTACCGTGGGGGGTGGGAATGCAAACTGATACAGCCACTCTGGAAAACTGTATGGAGGTTCCTCAAAAAGTTTAAGAGTTAAAAGTTAACAATATGATCCAGCAATCCCACTACTAGGTATTTATCCAAAGAATATAAAACTACTAATTCAAAGGGATACATGCACCTTATAGCAGCATTATTTACAATAGCCAAATTATGGAAACAGCCCGTGTCCATCAGTTGGTGAATGGATAAAGAAGATGTAGTGTATGTATGCATGTTACACACACACACAGTGGAATATTAATCAGCCATAAAAAAGTGAAATCTTGCCGCTTGCTAGATGGAGCTAGAGAGAATTATGCTAAGTGAAATACAGTCAGAAAAAGACAAATACCGTATGATTTCACTCATGTGGAATTTAAGAAATAAAAACGAGCAGAGGGAAAAAAAAGACAAACCAAGAAACAGACTCTTAACTATAGAGAACTAACTGATGGTTACCAGGGAGGAGGTGAGCGGTCGGGGGCGCGGGGTGGGGGCTGGTGAACTAGGTGATGGGGATTAAGGAGGGCACTTGTGATGAGCACCAGACATTGTATGGAAGTGTTGAATCACTATATTGCACACTTGAAACTCATATTACACAATGTTAACTAGCTGGAATTTAAATTAAAACAACAAAAAAAACAGTCCTGAGGAGTTAAATACCTATTAAGAGGTGTCATAAGAATTTGAAACCAGACCTTTATTCCCAGACCTGAGTTCTTAGTAAAGGAAAACTTTAAAAGTCTCTAACCATATCTGATACTGCCTGACTTATTACATAAATTAATAAACCAAATACTTGATTTCAGATTGTAAATTCAATTGCCATAAACGCTGTGCATCAAAAGTACCAAGAGACTGCCTTGGAGAGGTTACTTTCAATGGAGGTAAAATTCTTTTTCTTAATTTCCATAAAAGATCAGAGAAGGTCACAATTCTTTTGTGTATTATCTTTGCATAAGATTATATTTGCATATTTTATTTTACTTTGTTTCTTAACTTTGACTTTTTTTATTTAATAAACAAAAAGCAGACATCAGCTATGGTACACTTTTATTAGTCATTATGCCTTCCCATTTTTCCTTTAACCCACCTACCACTTTGTAGTCTCATATTGCCAGTGGTGCTGCATATTCTCTTCCATCTTAGACAAAAAAGACTTTTAACACCCTGCTGTTATCGCAGAGGTTTTCATAGTTCTAGTACTTACTGACTGCCAGGCACTGTTCCACACTCTTTACGTATATTGACATTTAACCTAAGAACAGTCCTTTGAAAAGGTTAAGTACTTACAGATGAGTAAACTTGGGCACAAAGACATTAAGTAACTTGCCCAAGAAATGTAGCCAGAAACTTACAGCATTGGGATTTGAGCCCACGTGTTCTGGTCCCTGAATCTACAGTCATTAGAACTCCCTGTCTCTTTCTCCATCAGTCATTCCCTAGACATTTTCCCTTGCGTGCTGTTGTGTTGTTGTTTTTTTTTTCTCATTTCAAGATTGTATTAATTGAAGTGATTACCTTTTTGGAAGGAAGAAGTAATGATTCTAAGCATAATTTTTCTTTAACATTTACATGACTGGTAAAAACTGAATGTAAGTAGTTCTATAGGAGGAAAAGCATAAGGAACGGAAATTAAATTTCTTAAGACTTTAATGTTTTCTTTAATGGCATGTTTTTTATAGTTGCTGTTTAACACCGTTGATAGCGTGATTGGTTTTCTCATTTGGGTTACTCTGAATAAATGTAGTTTTTCTATAGACCAAAGTCTTCTCTAGATTTATGGTTCATGTCTTTTTGCACTTTTCTACTGTTGGATAAATGGGTATCAAATACTATTTATATTGATTTTACGGTACATTTGTATACTAATGAATTTGAACATCTTTCATATGTTGACTGGTTACTTACAGTTTTTTCCCCTGTAAATTACCTGTTCACATGTTTTGTCCATTTTTCTGTTTGTTACTGATTTGCAGGGAGTTGTTGATAATTCTACCTAATAATTCTTTATCAGTTATACTGGACACAAATACCTTCTGTGTTGTGGCTTATCATTTTTTAAAGTAGCTTTATTCAGATAGTTTTTGTACTTTACACATTTAGTTTATTCACAAAGTTAGGCAGCCATCATTACAGTCCAATGGTGGGACATTTTCATCACCCTGGTCACTCCCCACTCTTCCTCACCAGCCCCTGGCAGCTGCCGTCAACTTTCTATCTCTGTGGGTCTGTCTATTCTAGACATTTCATATAAATGAAATCGTATAATGTGTAGTCTTTTGGGACTAGTGTCTCACATAGCTTAATGTTTTCAGGGTTCATCCATGTTGTAACATGTATCAATACTACCTTCTGCTTTGTCGAGAATAACATTCTTCTGCATGAATATACCACATTTTATTTATCAGTTGATGGACATTTGAGTTGTATCCACTTTGGGGCTATGATGAATACTGCTATGAACATTTGAGTACAGTTTCTGTGGACATACGTTTTCATTTCGCTTGGGCAGATATCTAGTTGTGGAATTGTTGAGTTATATGATAACTCCATGTTTAACATTTGGAGGAGGACTGCCAGGCTGTTTTCCGGAGCATCTATACATTTTACATTCTCACCAGCAGTGTGTGAGGATTCTGATTGCTCCACATGCTCGCCACCACTTGTTATTGTCCGTCATTTTGGCTCTTGCCATCCTAGTGAGTGTGAAGTGATAGCTCATTGTGGGTTTTGTTTTGTTTTGTTTTATTTTTTATCAAAAAAGGAAACATCAAATTTAATTTAAAGGAAAAAAAATCAGAAATTGAGGAAACAACAGAACAAATCAATTCCTGAAAAAAAGAGTTCTGCATCTTGGTGATCACATTTATTGAAAGGATTGGAAAAAAATTAAAATGCCCTTTAGCTCAAGACTTTTTTAGTTATCCACAAATCACCTCATTTCAGGAGTGGAAGAATCCTTGGTCATTTCTTAATATCAAAATTTACGCAGGTTTCTCTTTTGAATGTCTTCTACATTTAAAGAGGCAATCATACGAAAGCTCCTATATTCCATACATGATAAATTCTTTGTTTCAGCCAACTCTTAATGGAGGGGCAACTAGTACAACACCATCTCCCCGGACAAAAAGCATTGGAATATCCCGTTTTGTTGATTTATATATCTCTTCGTATTTTTCCTCATCAATTTCTATAGTAGTCACAGTTTCTTCCATATCTCCCAATATCATATTTAAATGCTGATCGTAAGCATGTAATCTGCCTCGAAGCTCTCTGTCATTTCTCATTTTCACATAAATTCGCTCATCCAGGCTGAGCCTGATAAGATCCAGGGTCTCTTCTACAGTGTTGGTAGTTTGTTGCTGATCCACTTCGTCCGCCATGTTTCAAACCCTGCTCATTGTGGTTTTGATTTGCATTTTGCTGATGGCTAATTGATACGCACATCTTTTCACCTATCTGTTGGCCATTTTTACATCTGCTTTGGGGAATATCTATTATTCCTGTCCTTTCCCTATTTAACTGGTTATTTATTTATTGAGTTGTAAGAGTTCTTTAAATATTTGGGATACAGGTCTCTTATTTGATATATGTAAATATTTTTCCCCTTCTTTGGGCTGTCTTTTTACTTTCTTGAGTTATCATTTGCAGCACAAAATCAAGTCTGATTTTTTCTTTTGTCACTTAGGTTTTTGGTGTTCTATCTAGAAGGCTTTGCATAACCCACGGTCACAAAGATTCACTACTATGTTTTCTTTTAAGAATTTTATAGAGTTAGCTCTTACCTTTAGACCTGTGATCCACTTTAAGCTTTCTGTTTGGTTTAAAAAAGAGGTCCAGTTTCATCTTTGTGCATGTAGATATCCAGTTGTACTAGCACCAGTTTTTGAACAGACTATTTATTCTTTCCCCAACAAATTGCCTTGGACCCTTGTGGAAAACCACTTAACTCAACAAACAATAGTGGTGGCTAATCTTTTACTTTGTTTTAATATCTTCTGTCATATAGAGATTTAAATTCTAATTAATCAAATTAATTTTCTGCCTTGTGGTGTGTGAATTTTATATCTTCCTGAAATACTACTTTATCTTGAATCATAAAGATACTTTCCTAGATTTTCATTAAGAGTTTTAAAGCTTTTTTCCCCACATTTCATATACTCTTTCTATTTAGATGGATTGATCTCCCATTAATATAAAACTCTGAATTCATTTTAAACTTTGCCAGAACCTTCCAGTCTGGGAGCGGATACAGATATACCAATGGATATTGATAACAGTGACATGAACAGTGATGGTAGCCGGGGCTTGGATGACATAGAAGAACCATCTCCTCCAGAAGATAAAATGTTCTTCTTGGATCCATCCGATCTTGATGTGGAAAGAGATGAGGAGGCTGTGAAGACAATCAGGTAGCACATGTCCACGGATACAGGGTCAGTCCAGGCACTCCCTTGAGAAAGAATCTCTTTAAATGGAACCTAAAATATAATTTAAAATCTAATTAAATTGTTGCTAATTCTTTTACATGCACCACAGGATTTCTGAAATAAATTATTATCACTTACGCCATCCACTCAACATGGGAAGGTGTGAGAATCCTTGTTTTCTTGAAGAGAAAAACACTTTATTTAAATATAGTCAGGATGTGTTATCTCCCTGTGGAGCAGCCACCACAAGGTGTCAGAATTGAACTATCAGTTAAAGCAGCCAGTTGCTTCATACCAGCAGATTATTGGACGTTAGAAACACCAGTACGAATGTATACCTACAAATGTTGCACAAAGATGATGGTGATGAATTTGTGAGCGGTTAATTAGACTATTAGCACTTTGTAAAAATGCTATTGGATTATAAAACTTCTAAATATCCCCTTATGTTTATAGAAATTCAGTTTTTCTATATATACAGCTTTATAGGATGTACTACTTTGTAATAAAATGTTAATATTTTGGCAGGTTTTGTTTTTCATTGGCAACCAGGAGGAATTTAGAGAAAATGGATCATTTATCAATCTCACATGGCTGAGTGGTCATTCATTCATTTTGGCTTATCATTAAATTACAGCTATTACTATCATTCTCATTCTGAACTAAAATTTAATGTTTACCCAGTTTGGAGACTATCAAGAGAACTTAGCTGGCTTCCTAATCATTAATACATCATAATTTAAGAGAATATATTTAACTGAGACTGAAATTGAAAAACCATGTGTTTTTCACACATACCCCCAAATTGTTCTTTTCCTCTAGCTACGCTGTTCCTGACCCATATTTCCGTATTACCTGATTTGACTCGGTGCATTATTTATTATTTTTATTTTCTTAATTGTTATCTGTAAATCATTTTCCTTTCAGTGTCTTCTGCTAGGAAGACTTTTTGCTAACAACGTGAATAATAGAATCTGACATTTGAACCATTTAAAATTGGGTATAGGTATACTTACTTTTTACCTTGTTATGAATTTACTAATTAACCATGCTGCCTAGGGCAAGCATGTAGATATCCCAGCAGTCCCAAATGAGACCCTCCCCCAGGCTTCATATCTTCCAATTAGGGAGGATTCTTTCTGCTCTGTGCATTGTTTTGTGTTATGACCCGTCAAAAAATATTGATGACAAATAATGAGGACTTGCAGTATTATCTTAGTCTTTTATAAATCAACTGTGTATCATCATAATGGGATTTTTTCTTAAGCTATTTCTCTAAGATATTTTGAAAAATTTTAGCTCAATTATCTTAAGGGCTAATGAGTTTACAGTATTTATATGATTTTTTAAAAATTGAAATTATCAATATTTTATCATAAATTCTAAATGTTTTTTAGTCCATCAACAAGCAGTAATATTCCGCTAATGAGGGTTGTACAGTCCATCAAGCACACAAAGAGGAAGAGCAGCACGATGGTCAAGGAAGGGTGGATGGTCCATTACAGCAGCAGGGACACCCTGGTCAGTAACCACAGACATTGTAATATGGTAGTGAAACTTTGTTATATGCTTTACTTTATGCATTTTTAAAATCAAAATAATGAGATATATATTAAGACATTTTAGTAAACTGGAACTGTAGTTACGCTTGTAAAGAGTTTTCAAAAGGCAAAACTGAAATATTTTTACAAATTAGTAGAGCAGTAGAGATTCAGACAGTATTTGGGGATACAACACCAAATATAGAATCCGTTAAAGAAATAATTGGTAAGATGGACTTCATTACAGTTAAATCTTCTGCTCTGCAAAAGACAGTGTCAAGAGAATAAGACAAACACAGACTAGGAGAAAATATTTGTAAAAGAGACATCTGATGAAAGACTGTTCTCCAAAATATACAAAGAACTTTTAAAACTCAACAGTAAGAAAACAAACAACCCAATTAAAAAATGAGTCAAAGACCTTAACACATACCTCACCAAAGAAGATACACAGATGGCAGATAAGCATATGAAAAGATGTTCCATATCATATGTCATCAGGGAAATGCAAATTAAAATAGCAGTGGAATACCACTACACACTGATTGGAATGGCCAAAACCTGGAACACGGACACCACCAAAGGCTGGCAAGGATGTAGAGCAACACATACTTTCATTGCTGGCGGGAATGCAAAATGGTATAGACACTTTGGAAGACAGTTTGACGGCTTCTTACAAAACCAAACATACTCTCACCATATGATCCAGCAGTTGCACTCCTTGGTTTTTACCCAAAGGATATGAAAACTTATGTCCACACAAAAACCTGAATATGTATGATTTCAATAGCTTTATTCATAATTGCCAAAACTTGGAAGCGACAGGATGTCCTTCAGTAAGTGAATTGACAAATAAACCATAGTACATCCATCCAGACAATGGAATATTATTCAGTACTAAACAGCAATGAGCTATGAAAAGACAGGAAGGGATCTTAAATGCATATTACTAAGTAAAAGAAGCCAGTGTAAAAACTACATACATACTGTATGATTCCAACTATATGATATCTGGAAAAAGCAAAACTATGGAGACAGTAAAAAAGATCAGGGGTCGAGGGTAGGGGACAGGTAGGCATGAATACACAGAAAGAACACAGAATTTTTAAGGCAAGGGAAACACTCTATAAAATACTCTGTAAAATATAATGATGGAAACCTGTCATCACACATTTGTCCAAACCCATAGAACGTACAACACCAGAGTGAACCATAACGTAAACTCTGGACTTTGTGATTATGATGTGTCAGTGTAGGTAACAAGTGTAACAGTTGTAACAAGTGTACCACTCTGAATGAGGATGTAGATAATGGGCAGGCTATGTATGTGCGGGGGGCAGGGAGTATATGAGAAATCTCTGTACCTTCCCTTTAATTACGCTGCGACCGAAAATGGCTAAAGTCTTCATTTTAAAAAATAAAGAGATATGTAAAAAAAAACAAAACATCAGAAAACAAAAGCAAAGACACATGACACACTGGAAAAAGTATTCTGAAGTCATAATTTAGACAAGGATTAATTTCATTATATGTAAAGGATGACAACAAATTCATCAGAAAAAGACCACAACACAAAGAATGGGCAAAGAATATCAGCAGAGTTCACAGTCAGGGAAATACAAATACTCTTAAACACAAGAGCTTGATCTCGTTTTTAAAAAAAAAAGTACAATTTAAAATTTCACTGAATTACCAGGTTTTATTTATCAGTGTAGCCAAGATCAAAAAGTTTAGTAACATAACTACCTTAGTGAGAGTAAATAGGTACTCGTGTTGCTGATGAAACTATAAATTGGGTCAAGTCTTATGAAGGGTGATTGACACTGGCAAGCAAAATTACATGTGTATATATCTTTTGAGCCAGAGAGCCAGATTAGAAATGTAGCCTATAGGTAAATTACGTATCTGCACATGTGTACCACGTATGTATTTGAGTGTGCATGCATAAAATTCTCTAAAAGGATTCCCCGAAACCTACTACCATTGCTTACCTGGAGCAGGGTGGGAGTAGGATGTGAGTGGTGGTGGGAGTATACTTGTCACTCTATATATCCTTCTTATATTTGCAGAATTTTGACCCTCATGAATTTTAAGCCTACTCAGAAATACAAACTTATGAATAGAAATGAAAGGGAAAGGAAAGGTACAGGTACTTTGGAGGAATCATTATTTTTATACCTCAGAGTTTTATGCCCTTTATTTTATAGAGAAAGAGGCATTACTGGAGACTGGACAGCAAGTGTCTAACATTGTTTCAAAACGAATCTGGATCAAAGTATTATAAGGTAAAGATTCCACATTTTGAAAAATATGTACATTGAAATATTGTATATTTTCCAAATATTCAAATAATATTAATTATGTTGGCATATATCTATTATGACTCTGCCTAATATCATGTATAGAAATCATGGTTAAGTTCCTTGTTGAAATAATTGTCCCACACCCCTCCATTTCACCCCTCACAATAGCCCTGCTACCCAAGGTTGTTTTTTGTTGTGAGTTCCTTTGGTTTCGGCCTACTTGTCAGGTTGGTACTGATTGCCTTTTGGACACTATGATTTAGATTGGGCAGTTCAGTAAGTCCCATGATCATTGCCTGTCCAGAAGATGCCAGTATGGTATTTGGTGTTCCCCACTGATCCATTTTATCTTAGGCCCTGATTCCAAAAGCTTCTTCTTCACCTTCGTATAGTCTTCTTTGCTTGGCTTGCTCCACACTTTGCTGTGTCCCAGACGGACACCAAACAAAATTGTAGACTGTAGCAATTATATCCTTAAGAAAGAGAATAGAAACTAATGACTTGCTTTGATCTGGTTGGGTTAAGTACTTTTTTGTGTGTGTGTTAGGAAGTGAAGTACAAGTAAATACTTGTTACATTTATGGGCAGAACCAGACGGAATGCTTGAACAACCTATACTAACATTCTACTTTGGCTCTTATGTTTTCCTTTGTTCTCCTCTGAGGGCTGTATCTTGCAGACAGCTGCTGGTAGAGAAGTAATTGCTGAGTTGATTTAATGACAATTAGAAAGTGACAAGTGTTGGATATAGTGGCAGTTACCCTCCACGATCCTCTCTTTCCTTGCAGTCTAATGACCTGCTGAAGGCCTGAAGCACTGGCTTAGTTATTATATTCATGCTCAGCCTTCAGCATTGTTGGGCATGCAAATCATTCAAGGCAGATATTATCCTAAGACTTGACTATGTGTTCCATGTACCACATACTTGTGTTCATCTTAATGCATTCATTAGAAATGCATATCTCTGTTTAGTGTATTTGAAAATAAAAACAAAGATGTATTCATATCTTTTAATGCTTAATTTTTTACTTCAGGAAATTCCACTTTCAGAAATTCTCCGCATATCTTCGCCACAAGATTTCACAAACATTTCACAAGGCAGCAACCCACACTGTTTTGAAATCATCACTGATACTATGGTATACTTTGTTGGGGAGAACAATGGGGACAGCTCCCACAATCCTGTTCTTGCTGCCACTGGAGTTGGAGTTGATGTAGCACAGAGCTGGGAAAAAGCAATTCGCCAAGCTCTCATGCCTGTTACCCCTCAAGCAAGTGTTTGCACTTCTCCAGGGCAAGGGAAAGATCACAGTAAGCAATAAGCTTGTTGATGGCTTTTTTCCCCCTCTGGTTCTTAAGCATTTTGTGGGTGTGGTTGTGTTTCTGCATGTATTTCTTTTTTTCTTTTTTTTAAGTTTTTATTTATTTGAGAGAGAGAGAGAGAGAGCATGAGCAGGGTGGAGGGGCAGAGGGAGGAGCAGACTCCCTGCTCGATCTCAATCCCAATCCCGATCCCAGAACTCCGGGATCATAACCTCAGCCAAATGCAGACGCTTAACCGACTGAGCCACCAAGGCGCCCCTCTGTATGTATTTCTAATGCTCACTTTAAGCTTCATCTGTACTAACCAATATTGTTAGTTAATTCCTTTATATAGTTATGTTAGTTATAATGTATCCATACAATCCCCAGAGCTAGGTTCCAGAGTCAGTCTCCCTACATTCAAATCCTGGTTCTGCCAACCTGTTATATGATCTTAGGCAAAACCTTACCTCTCTGTAATAGTACCTACTTTATAGGCTTGTCAGCATTAAAGAAAGAGAACCAGTAAGGGATAGAACAGTGTTTGGTATCCATGAACTCTCATTGGATTAAGCAAACTTCTAGTATTTTGCTTCATGGTGGGATATAAACAGGTGATAAAGTATTATGGTTCACATCATACTTGTGAAATCTATGAAGTCAGAAATGCTGTTTTTCTTTTAACTGAATTAAAACATTCAGAAATACTAAAAAATTACTGAAACATGTTCTTTGCACCAACAAAATTTATAAAATAAAACCTAAATTTGATAAAGGATCAATTGAAAGCCATGATGTGACTTTTATGCCATTGGTGTTGTTATTTATAGGGAAACATCATTCATTAGACAAATATATTTAAATCAAAATAAGTATCAACCAGTTCCTAAATGTACTTTATATCAGTTCAGCTGTATTATTTCATGCACCTATTCTTGGCATAACGCTAGGCTCTGAGCTAAAAACACAGAAATTAAGGGAGATAGGACATACAAACGTTAAGTGTTAAGTGGTAGCATAAGGCAGTAGAATGCAGAAATGAGTAATGCATTACTTGGGGGATGCAGATACGGATAGGAGGAGTAAGCAGAGACTTCATGATAGAAAAAATCTGACTTGAACCTTGACCTTGGATCTCAAGTAGGTTAGGATAGGAAAAATTAAAAGGGAAGGGTGGAGGGGGGGGTAGTGTTACTCTAGTTAAGGAGACGGCTGTGATCAAAGGGATGAAGGTAATGACCGTGAACATGTTTGGTGTTTAATATTGATTCTTAGAGGATGAATTAGATGGATATTTACAGTGCTTCTTAAGTTTTGGGGGATTTTAGACAGAACTCTGATATCCTAATTAAAGCCATAGACCTTTTCCCCCAGAAAATAATACAGGGACATAAAGACAAATTTTATGTATTACTGGACATAGGAACCTTCTCCATTCTCCAGCCCATCCATGGACCTCCTCCCTCTAAATATTAAGAGTCTCTAAAAGCAGAATTGCGGAAGGGTTAAGAGTGAGGATGCTAGACAATGAAAGCATAGTCGCCGCTTACTGGCTGTGTGATCTTGGTCTCTGCGGTCACTAATCTAAAGTGGGAATAATAATAAACGCATATAATGCACTTAGCCCAGTTCCTGACACGTGAGTAATACTATGACTGGGTTGTTGGCTGCTTGCTGCTGCTTCTGGAGTAGAGTTCTGGGAAGCAATAGAGAATAAAACTAGGTGGAGCTAGACAGTGGAGGCCTTTGAAACACAATCAGTATTGACTTACACAGGAAAATGGAACGACTGAAAAACAAAACTTTAGACACCTTAATGTCGTCGATGCTGGGCCTTTTTTGTTCATTAATATTTAATATTTGAGTTATTTAAAATATTTTAAGATTGACTTAATATTTTTAAATGCAGTCTTTGACGGTCATGTTACTTATTTTTGACGTATAGTATGCTTATATTTTCTTGTTCTAAATTTTTATATTTGGGATCATAAAGGAAATATCACATCTTGTTTCTCTGAGTTCTCTCCGAGATTCTAGATGTTTGAGACCTAGTCTCTTATTTTCCATGTGGCCCTTTTCTCTTTTTTGTCAGTTACTTCCTTTGCTTACCAAAGTAATATAGACATTTTACAGTAATACGGAATATAAAATGAGAACGTCCTTCCTGTACACTTGTAACACACCCCCTTATTCCTGCTCCTATATCACCCCCCTCAGAAAACCATTATTAACAGTTTGCTGTATATTTCTTGGTTTGGAGAGAAGGGAAGCTGATATTATCTATACTGTATTGTTATATTTTTATTTTTACAAAAAATGTGGTCATACTCTGTTCTTTTTGCAACTTGCTTTTAGCCACTATTTAATTAATGTGTATCAGATGTATTTCAATCTCAGTATATAGATTATCTAATTTATCTGATTTTTTACTATTAAAGTAATGCATGCTTTTTATGTTTTAGAAAATGCAGGCAGTATAGAAGTATATAAAAACTAAAGTCTTTGTTCCCCAACCCTTACTCTCATTCACGAGAAGTATCATATTTTCTTTGTTTTTAATTCAAATGCTGCTGCCTTACAACTTGCCTTTCTAACTTAATATGCCATGGATAGCTTTCTAACACAGTATGGATAGCTCTACACCATTAAATGTTTAGATAGTATTTCTTTGTATGGATGTATCATATTTTATTTGACCAGTTTGTTGTTGATGGGTTGGTATTATGTGTGTGGATAAATTTTTTTAAAGAACATAATTATATTAACTGTATGTTAGCCAGTTTTTTAAATTTAATATACTGTGGGCATTCACATGTCAGCAAATGTTAATATTAAGTCATATAACAATTTTGTTCTTTTCTCATACATCATCCTTCTGTTTTACAGAAGATTTGTCTACTAGTATCTCTGTATCTAATTGTCAGATCCAGGAAAATGTGGTAAGTAAAAATTACAGCTAAAATATGCAAATTGGGTAATTAAAATAGGTAAAATAAGATGTGAAAATCTTATTAGAGAAATAAGTTCAAGAGACAAAAAACAAACTTTTAGAATTAGAGAACAAACTGGTGGTTGACAGAGGGGAGTTGGGTGGGGGGATGGGTGAAATAAAGGGAATTAAGAATACATTTATCTTGATAAGCACTAAGAAACATTTAGAATTGTAAATGACTATATTGTACACCTGAAATTAATATCACACTGTATGTTAATTAATATTTGAATTAAAAAAAAAGTTCATAGGCCAAAATATTGAGTACTTGGCCTAAAGAAGCTAGATTTTGTGGCTGATAACTACTCTAAGGGGTTCTGCTTTATGAAGGAAACTAAGGCAGATTTTTTAAATTGTGAAAATAAAGATAACTTTTTCACAAGTGATAGTAGAATATTACATAGTGATAGACTAGTTCAAAGAGAAGGGAGAGATTACTTCTTGCTGGGTCAGCAGGGAAAACTTCCTCAAGGAAGTGAAACCCAGAGCTGTGCCGCTAAGGTTGGGAAGGAATTTCAGTTGAAGTGCAGAGGATGAGGGCAGGGAACAATAGTTCATGCAAGTACAGGGACTGGGATGGGCAAATAGAGGGAAGCAAGACATACAAGACTTTTAAGGCATAGTGAATAGAAGAAGTTTGGCTGCTATATGTACGCACGTATTGGGGATTATGACAGGGATTAGCATACTTTCTATAAAGGAATAGATAATAGATATTTTAGGCTTTGGGGACCATACCCAGTAATTTCACTCTGCCATGGTAGTGAGAAAGCATCTATAGGCAGTACATAAAGGAATGAGCATGACTGTGTCCCAGTATAACTGTATTTATGGACACTTGAATTGAATTTTATGTCATTTTCACATGTCAAAAAATACTACTATTATTTCCCCTTTTTTAACCATTTAAATGTAAAGTCTATTCTTAGATCAGGAGCCTGTACAAAAAGAGCCAACAGGCTAGATTTGCCAACCCTGGATTAGAAAGAAAAAAGGCTAGAAAAAGAAGTCTTAAAATAGTTCATTGGCTATATATAAATTTCTCTGATAAAAATCTCACCGTCGGGTGCCTGGGTGGCTCAGTTGGTTGAGCGACTGCCTTCGGCTCAGGTCATGATCCTGGAGTCCCGGGATCGAGTCCCGCATCGGCCTCCCTGCTCGGCAGGGAGTCTGCTTCTCCCTCTGGCCCTCTCTCTGTGCTCTCTCTCATTCTCTCTCTCAAATAAATAAATAAAATCTTTATATAAAAAAAAAAAATCTCACCGTCTTCCACTTGGGGCATCCGGCTGTAATAGCTGTAGTATATAGATGTTGGCTTTTCTAAGACTGCAGTGAAGACTGGATATCCAGTAATGTTCCAGGGAATAGAGGGTTTTGAGGAGATGTAATCTGTGTATCTCTTGTCGTAGTGGTAGGTAGATTCTTGGGGAGGGAAAGAGGGATTACACAAACATGAGATCACTAACTTTGAAGGATCCCCTGAGCACTTGAGGGACATGCCTATTCATAGCTGAGAAGGGAAAAGGTTCAGAACTGGTCTTTGTGAAGACCTTTTCTAGCAGTTACTATTTGACTAATGGATGTTCCCTCATCTAATTTGATTAGAACAAAAATTTCATTGGTTAAACAAAAAGTTGATTAAAGTTGGGAAGCATATAAAAATGACTCTTATAAACCTTAAAATTTTCATTATACCTTAAAACATGCATATATGCACATTGATTGATTTGCTTTTGTCACAGGGCTGAGACGACTTACTTTAAGTATGGGTCTGCTAAGTAGAGTTGCACTATGTCTTTCTTGCATCAACCACATCTGTAATGTAGTAATGCAATTCTGATGCTAATCACCCTGATTTTGTGCAGACTCCACAGGTTAAGGGCACAGTTCCTAACAAGGCTGCCCTCACTTGAGACAACAGCCACAAATGCAGGAGTCCCCAGTTCACCCATACTTCTGACCAACTGGCTACAGAGTCAGAGGATTCCCACAAATCCACACTGAGGTTCAGTAATTCACTAGAATGTCTCAGAACCCAGGAAAATGCTGGACTTATGATTATAGCTTTATTGTAACAGATAAAAATCAGGACCAGCCAACCAAAGACACATAGGGTGCAGTCCGGGAGAGTTCTGAATGTAGAGCTTCTGCATTCTCTCCCTGAAATCAGGACATGCAAGCCTACAGCACATTGATCTGTAACCAGCCTGAAAGTTACCTGGGCTTTAGTGTCCAAAGTTTTTGTTGGAGTTTCATTAAGTAGGCATGATTGACTGAATCATTGGCCACATGATTGAACTCAATCTCCTACCCCCCTTGTCCCCCCTGAGTTTGGACTGGTTCAAAGCCTCAACACTCTAATCATGTGGTTGGTCTTTCTGGTGACCCTCCCCCATCCTGAATCATCTTGTTAGCATAATTCAGGTGTGATCCAAGGGGCTCATGAATAACATAACCTAAGATACTCCTATGACTTGGGAAATTCCAAGGATTTAGAGTCTCTCTCTTAGGAACCAGGGACAAAGGCCACTCAAATTCTTATTATACAACAACACCCATAATGCATTCTCTATAATTTCCACTTTTTGTTTCTTTAAAGTAGAACCAGGGATACTTGTGAAATATTCTGGGAACAGATCCTCACTCCCACAGTCTGGTATTTGTTTTGCTCACAAATAAATTGACAGCAGTTGTTTTGGTGTCTCATCTTTATGGAGTTTTCTTTTCTTTTCTTTTCTTTTTTTGAGATTTATTTTAGAGAGCACAAGCAGGAGAGGGAGAGGGAGAGAGAATCTCAAGCAGACCCCACACTGAGCACAGAGCCCAGTGCGGGGCTCGATCTTGATCTCACCACCCTGAGATCACAACCTGAGCTGAAACCAAGAGTCAGACGCTCAACTGACTGCACCACCCAGGCACCCCCTTAATGGAGTTTTGTTGTTTGTTTGGTTTTTTTTTAAGATTTTATTTATTTATATGTCAGAGAGAGAGAGCCCAAGCAGGGTGAGCGGCAGGCAGAGGGAGAAGGAGACTCCCCGCTGAGCAGGGAGCCCGATGCAGGACTCGATCCTGGGACCCTAGGATCATGACCTGAGCCGAAGGCAGATGTTTAACCGATTGAGCCACCCAGGCGTCCCTTTTATGGAGTTTCTAAAACTACTTCGTTTTCATAGAAATCTCTCATGTTTCATTGACTTATATAGTATACATATTTAATTTTTTGTAATTAAATTATATGATCTATAACAAGCACATTTGGCATAATGGGTTTGGGAACAAATTCAGTTTTAAGAGTTACTCATTGGGATACCACATCCATTTTATGAGGTTACTGCAGACATCAGTCAATATATTCTTTTCAGAGGGAATGGAAAGTACAGGTTATTCTGGTGAGTTAGTAAAGAAAAGGTGTTAGGAGAGCCTCTTTAAATAGGTAGTACTTACATGACCCTGATATGTCCTGAATTATTTATCTTCTTAAAAGATTTTTATGTTTCCCTAATACATCATAAACCTCTTAACTAGGTCTGTTTTACAAATTAGCTACCTTGTACAGAGTCCTCTATACAGTTAGGGCTCAATAAATGTTGATGACAGTCATAAAGTCATGGGCATTTTTTAAATTAGGAGGGACCTAGAGATGTAGACCGATACTTTTTTCCAGATGAGAAAGCCAAGTCCCAGGGAAGTCAGCAATTTAAGATTACCTAATTTAAATGATTTTTATATGCCAGGCCCTGGACTTGACACTTGGTATATATCTTCATTTAATTTACTTAAAAATCCAGTGAAATAGATGTTATTATATCCCCTTTACCAGTGAGAAATTGAGGTGTGTGCAATTCCATTTACTTAATTGAGTTACCACCATGAGACAGGCGCTGGCGGGGAGTGTGACACCGACGGAGATGGAGTTGACTCCTGTAGACTCCTGCAGACTGTGGCACATACCCAGACAAGGGGGCCCCTGACTGAAGCGCTAGGGGGGCCTGGAGAGTGCCCCCAGAATATTCCCACAGCAACAGCCAGCACCAAGAATGAGGGGAGGGAGGGAAGAAAAATGGGGAGGGATCCGAGTTACAGACTTTCTCACACATACACTTTTTATCAGGCTTTCAAAATGAGCCTAATCTCAATAATATGAACCTTCTGAGTTTTTCTCTCAAATCAAGATAGCAAATCTCTTTAATAGTGAAATAGGTAAAATTATGTTAATTTTTTATGTTATTTACTTTATATAGATCATTACTTACTAAATACAAGATTTTCTTTTATTCAGAGCGTTTTTCCCCCCAAAGGCCTTGTTACAGAATACATTATACTTGTATATTAAGAGTCATAGTATTAAAATTGGGCTTTTCTAGGAAATGAAAAGTCTGTGTTCATAAAATATTTGTTAGGAAACTTAGCTGCCTCTCTCATAAAAACAAAAATGTGTTCAGTATTAGAATGAAAAGAGTCAGAGGTGTTGACAGTGTTGAATAGAGGGAAATAATGCTGCTTCCTCTTTCCTAAATAGGACATTAGCACAGTTTACCAGATCTTTGCCGATGAGGTGCTTGGTTCAGGCCAGTTTGGTATCGTCTATGGAGGTAAGCAACTGCAGCCTGGTGCATATTGTACATACTCCAGAAATTTGTGAAATTTAAAGATCTCTGCTAGCTCTTGTGTCTTGTCACAATTTTGTCGAGTGGCTTTTTTCTGAAGGGTTGATTTGCATTCTTTTAGCTCCACCCTTTTCACTCTGAGTATTCATTCCTTAATTCCAACTGCACACTTTACAAAGTAACAGAATCAGGAAATCAGTTTCACAGTAGTCCTACTTTATCTCTTCTTATAGCTCACTTATAAAGATGTTTGTGAGGGAAACATAAATGGCTTGAAGCTTTTGTTGGGCTGTGTGGGCTCGTTTATCCAAGGATATGCCCTCCTGGATTTCCAACACAAATGGCCCCATTCGTCTACTGTTGGCATGAATGTTGTGTCAGGTGTGAAGACCTGAAATCTCACTGTGACTCATGGTATTGGCAGAGTCATTTAAGCTCACTGTGCATTAGTATCTTCCTCTGTTTAATGGAGCTAACAAAATTTGACCTGCATAGCTCACAGGGTTGTTAATTAAGCCTAATATACATAAAAGTACTTTTTTTATAAGCTATGATCCAAAGTATAAAAGAAATGTTAAATCCTATTCCTCCCTCACTGACGCTCTTTAAGTAGCCTCCTAGTTGGCCTTTCTGCTTCAAGGCTTGCTCTGATATGTGGTTAAATAACTGTGCTGACTCAGTGAACCTAGAATAAAACTAATTCATTGATAAAATGTTTCTATCTTGACAGTGTTTGAAGACTAAGAGTAGTTAACTATCATTTATTTAATAAGGTGGATTATTTTTCAGCAAACAAGTTCATTCAAATTTCCTTCCATTTCAAGTAATGAAACCACCTTTAATAGGGGCAACCATTATTAAGGGAAAATATAATTTACTTCTTAAAAATAAAGATGAGTGAAGGAGAAAGAAAAAATCAGCCAAAGAAAAGAAATCTAAGAGGAAATACATATCTGTTTCAGTCTTTGTTCAACTTCCTGATAAAGCTTTTATATTTTATATGAGCTGTCAATTTGCTTTTCCTTTCTTTTCTATACTTTTTTTTTTTTTTTTTTTTTGAATAGGAAAACATAGAAAGACTGGAAGGGATGTGGCTATTAAAGTAATTGATAAGATGAGATTCCCCACAAAACAGGAAAGTCAACTCCGTAATGAAGTGGCTATTTTACAGGTAAGAAACCCAAGTTGCTTTTTATTGGTTTTAATTTTTGATTTTTGAGTTTTTAAATGCAAGTCTGTTTAGCGTGCTGGTAAGAATAAGGCTTATTTTTTCTTCTGTTTTCATCTTATGGCCTTTGGGCTCAGTGAGAGACTGGTGGGCATCTATGTTAAATTCTTAAGTCTTTTTTTTAAAAAAGGAAAAATTAAGTTATAGTAATCTAGGAGTTACAAGAACTGCCATTATGATAGTAGTTTAAAACATATTTTCATAAGTGAAATCTTAACAACAACAACAAAAGTAAAAATTTATTCTTAAGTCAGCACTCCAGAAGCTCAGAATACTTGGATACTTGTGTCCCCACATTTGACTAGGAGGTCAGCACTATACCCATGCAGTGCTCACAGATGATGTGTTTGGTTATTATAGCAATTGCTATAAAAATAAGGTCTGCTTAAAAATTGTGTACCTTTTCATTTGTTATTTTATTCATTTAAAACTCTGAAGATTTAATTTTATAATGTTTTAGTCCATTAAGGTATATTTTTAAAGATATGTTGGCAATGACTTAACTCCCATTAAATAAATTACTGTTCTTATTTTCATCTAACATTTTTTACCTCTTTTGGGGGTCATCTGGAAGACTAAAATTTAGC